AACAGCCTATGCCTCCTCATGTTATCGTGAGTAACCCCCATCATGGCTGTGGTTCTTTTGGACACTCTAAACTCACTCTGTAATATGTTTGCTCTGATAGCAGCAGGTTTAATTTTAAACAAAGCAGAACTGAATTTGCACAAATGGGTAGGCTCAGATCAGACCAGTTAGGACCAATCAGCAAGCTCAAATTTGGACCAATCACAGGCCTGCCATGACTATATACGCAGATTTCTTCTGCGCTCCTTGGGTTGGTGTGGGAGCTCTTCCTCTGGTATACTGCTGTGCTGCTTCTCAGGTCCTGTTCAAATAAAGCTTCTGTCAGATGGTCCTGTGAATCTGCTTATGACTAATTTCTCAGGGCGTATGGGCGTGGGGGGTCCTTTAAGGCCACTTGGGATTCTCATTCTGAGTACGTAGACAAAGCAGTCACCTCAGAAGACCTATGAACACTAGGGGTTGCTAGCCTCAAAGCCCTCCAAAGGCCAGAAGCCAACAAAGATCAGCAGCAGAGAGCAGTAACCAGCAGAACTGACCAACCACATCCAGAACAGGCCAGTGCCAAAGGGTGGTGGCCAGCAACAGCAGAGACCAGAAACTTGTGACAGAGGCAATTGGCAGAGTCAACTGATGGCATCTGGCACAAGCCGGCATTGGCCAGTAGCAACTGGCAGCAGCAGAGACCTCCAACTGGAAGTCTTAACCAACAGCGTCCAGTACCACCTGTTGTCAATCAGGGCCCAGCTCTGTAATGCTAAGGACTGAGGGTCATTGGCACTCAAAGCCCAGGCCCACTAGCAGAGCCAGGTTTTGCCAATTCCTGATTTATATCTGAGTAGAGTGCAGGAACCCTTAACTGGCCACACATGGGTGTGGAGGAAAAGGAGGTAGTGGACCTGCCCGAACTATTCAAAACCCTGGTGCCACTTCCAGTGGATCTTTTCACAAATGCTATGCTTGGTATTCGAGTTTTTCAGCTGATAAAGAGCTCACTGAGTCTGCCCCAAGTCTCCTGTGAATTAGGGAGTCCGTTCCTAGAGGCTCATCATTGCTGGATGTTGCAACAAGTTAAGGATCTTGTTGGCCGGGCCACGTCCCCCAGTAGCATCCTAGACATCCTCTCCTTGCCAGTTGTGGCCTCTGCTAATATATCCACCCAGCCAGGACCCTTGACTAAAACCACAGAGAAGCTTCTCCTCCCTCTCTTTCCTTCGCCCTACCTCTCCTCCCTCACACAGCTCACTCCCAACAAACTTCTTTCCTGAATCCATTATCTGAGGGAAAAACAGCCATGGCCCAGGCCTTGGAACTGTCCTCCTGGCCTGCTGGGGAGACAGGGACAGCAGGTTAGAGAGGGAGCCAGGAGCAAGGTAGGGGCAGCAGCAAAGGGCAGGATCACCTGAGCCAGGAGTCAAGGAGTGTTCCCCAAAAGGGACAGCTGACAGGCCACTGTGTCTCAGAGAAGTCAAGGGAGGGCCTACTGGTTCTAGGCCTTAGGGGAAAGACCTTGAAGCAAAGTTCAGCAGGGCAGTCTGGGAGCAGTGGCAGCTGAGTGGCAGAAGCCCACAGGTGGAGGGGCCAGGAGGACAGTTCACTGAAGCAGAAACTAGTGGGTTCAAGTCACTTCATTAGAATGTTCTTTGAGTGACTCCTGGCTGGGTCAGTAATGCTGCAATGGGGGCTGCTGCTCCCCTAACAAAAAAGAAAATGCAGAGACAGGCTCACCAGAGAGCAGACGGTGAGGCAGGGCTGCCACGAGGGGCATCCCAGGTTCCCCTGCTGTTCTTTGATATAAGTCAAAGTCCCCTCATCTTACCAGATGGATGCCGTTGTGTCTCAGATGATGTGGCATTCAGACGCTCTTAGATCATTTATTTCAGGATTCTGGAGTTTTCTAGAACTCTAGATACAGTACAGTGTCATAATGGCCCAGCTTGGAATCTGGAGTCAGATAGACCTGGATTTTAATCCTGTATCTATGTGTGTCAGCTGAGTGACCAGGATATTAAATATCTTTGTATGTTAGACACCCCCCTGTGCAACGTGGATACTAAAAGTAGATGCCACACAGTATGTTGTGAAAATTCTAAGAGGAAAGTTATTCAGGGAAAGGAACATAAAGAAGTTAACTGATGAAGGGTGGGAGCTGATGAGAAGGAACTGTGGGGAAAGTGACTGAGGAGGGCAGTGGGCCACCCTCTACAGCCACGCAGGAGATGCCCTAAGGCCTAGACCAGTAGGCCCTCCCAGAAGGCATTTGGGCCCAAGGCGGGGTAAGATGTGGGACCAGAGAAGTAGGAGGTTCTGGGGAGATAAAAAGATACTGGGGCTCTTAGCTTTTTCTTTTCTTTTGTTTTTCCTACCAGCATTCGAACTCAGGTCCTTGTGCTTGCAAGGCAGGCAAACATGACATTATTGTTATTTTCTCCAAAAGGAACTAAGGTACCATCCTCTAGCTTCCTAATGGAGTTGCTGACACAAGTCCAAAATTCCCAGGTTCCCTAGCTTGAGCTCAGCTTTATACACATGGTATTTAAGTTCCACAACAAACCACAATAGACCGTGTGCTGTAATTTGGACCAGAACATCCTCCAAAGGCATGTGTGTTAAAGGCTTGGTCCCCAACCCACAGTACTACTGGGAGGTGGTAGGACATTCAGGAGGTGGGGCCTAATGGATGGGGCATGCCCTTGAGAGGATATTAGGACCCAAGCCCTTCCACTCTGTCTGTGCTTCTCAGACTTCCTCTGCCATGCGCTCCCACCATGATGTTCTGTGCACAGGCCCGCAGCAACAGGGCCAAGTTACCATTCACTGAAAACTCTGAAACCATGAGCCAACACAAAACCTTTCCACTTCTTAAATTGATATTGCTAATATTTTGTTCCAGTTACAGATGCTGACTAACCTACCCTGATGTCTCATTTTATAGACAAGAACTAAAGCTCAGGGTTCATATAATTTGCCTGAGAGTTCGTGTTAATAAGTGACAGCTGAACCGTGAAACTGGGAGTTTTAACCCAGGGATGATAAACTCACACCTCCCTGCCTGTGTGAGGCAGCAGAGACGGGTAGGGCTTGTGGCCAGCTCATGGTATTCACTTTCTCAATGTTTTATCGAGGCTCTGCTAACCAGTCACAACAGTGATCAGCTCTGCTACTCCTGTCTTAACTGTAGGTCTCAGCTGCCTCCCCTAAAAAGTTCCTCTCCATCCCCACAGCCTCCAGCCAAATTCTCATCACTCATACTCAGATGTGGCAGGGACGGTCCTCCGGCCTCACCTAGAGGTAGATTCTATCTGTCCCCGAGCACTCCCTCCTACACACACACACCATGCTGTCACTTCCTAGTCACCTTGGGGTAAGTCACTTAACTGCCCTGAACCTCACTTTTCCCACTTTGAGGAGCAGGATGATAGCTATTATGCACCATCCCTAAGTACATTAAATGTATTCACACTGTAAAGAGCTTGGCCCAACACCAAGGTGTGCATAGATGTCTTATTCCACTAGAAAAGTACCCTAGCTCTTTGCATCCTGAGGAACCTGAGAGGAGAATGGCTGGTCCTCGTTTCCCTTGCCTATTTGCCCAAGCGCACAAAGCAGGGAGGAGGGCTGATTCACCCAAGCAATAGGTCAGTTTCTCACCTGCCAAGTGGAAAACTCCAGCCGGACACAGTGGCTGCACAGATCTAGAGAGGACACCAGAGTAGCAGTAGCTGCTCGGAATCTGCTCAGCCTACTTAGTGGGGCAGGAGGGTTCAAGGGGAGAGCTGGACCCAAAGCTGAGCCAATCCCTGGCCCGGAGCACAACTGAAAAGCCAGGCCATCGTAAGCCCTTTGCAGACTAGAGTCTGAGTCTTGGAGGTCCCACTATCATGGTAACAAATCCTAAAATGCACCCACATTCTTCATTCAGAGTAACTCTTGTTTCAGTTTAAAATGGGTGTGTGTGTGTGTGTGTGTGTGTGTGTGTGTGTGTGTGTATGTCTGTTTACAAAATTGCTTTTGAAATTACTTGACTATGAGTAACTTGTTTAATTTACTACTGGCTAAGATTTTTCTTCATTCTGCATAATCTGTAGCTCTTGCCAAAAATCCAACTTACAAATTGTTTTGAAATATGACATTTGTGTAGATACTAAACTTTACAAACATTAAAGCTGACATGCTACTTTCTGAAGGCATTTTGTTAAGCATTTTTCAATTTTGACTTTGCTTTTTTTATATTTTACAGCCCCAAAGCTTTTTTCAGATCTCCCACACTTCCTAGGCCTCAGAAAGTCTGCCCTACTGCTGCAGGGGACAGGTTTGCAAAGAGCTTGGGTGCTTGAATAACCCCAACTCCAGAAATGCAGGTCACCCCTTGGGGCCAGCTGTAGAGCCCACCCACTCGAATGGCCCAGGCACCTATTTGGACAACTTTACTGTCATTTTGAAAACACAGACTACAGCAACCTCTGTGACAAGATGCCCCAGAAACCACAGTAAACGTGGGACAGAAGCTGAGTTTAAGGCTGGATTCCCATGGCACAGGCTTGCTTCAGTTTCTTCCCGTACCACCCTCCCAGGTACTTGTACCACACCTTCTTCCTCTGAACTGGAATCCGGAAAGCACATCTTAAACAAACTCCCTGGAAGATCCTGTCTCCTTAGGTTTGCATGTTACGAGCATATGTTCACATCTACCAAGCTGCCCTAAGAGGCTGGAAGTACACAGGTATACGAGGTGGGAAAGGAGCCCCCTCCAAGCCAGTGTGACAAGGCTGTGCCAGCGACCTGGGGCCAGGTGTCCCCCTCAGACCTGGCAAGCTGGACAAGCCTAATCAGCATCTCTTCTCTCCTCTAGCTCTTTCCGCCAAAATCCAAGGGTACGCAATGCATCACCTGAGCCCAGTCACTCCCTAGAATGTGCTATACCTCCATCCAGAATGCCAGACACCCAACCTCAGGAACCCCCATGGCTTTGCCCATCCCAACAGAGACCCTTGTTCATTACTTAAATAATCTTTATTTCTCATGCACTTGGAAAATGGGTCATATGAAATGCTACTTGTCATAGCAAAGGCCTCAGTCCAGAACACAACACAGGGGGCCAGCTGGGATCGGGGTCTGGTCAAAGATCTGGGGACCTCAAAGGGGATGCCATCCCCAGAGCTACTGGCAGATCCAGCACCCTCCAGCTGCAGTGACCCCAGACACAGCACAGAGCACTGCCCTGTCCCACAGAGGCACAGGGACCTGACCCAGAGAAGCACATGGACCGGGACATGGACAGAGAAGGCTGCTGGGCAGTAACTAGGCAGAGGCAGAGGTCCAGCACCTCAAAGGCCTGAATCCATCCCCTCAGGCTAGGCAGCCCAGGGCCATGAGCAAACTCCAGTGCAGAGCTGCTGAGCTCTGGAGAGCCTCGAGAACGCAATGCCCACAGCAGAGGTGCACAAGGCTGCCCCTCAGCTACATAAACAAGACCAGGGATCAAACTTCACCTCCAGTCAAAGCTCGAATGTGCCCAGGCAGACCGAAGAGGCTAAAGGGGCCAGCCCCTCATAACCTCTCAAGCCACTATGAACACTGGAGACACCCATAGAACAGCCAGGCTTCTGAGGATCCTGGGACAGGGCCATAAGTAAGGCCAGCCCTTACATCTTCATCATCAGGTGCCATCTGAATCAAGATAACGATGGAGCAGATTCCCTGGTCATTGCTTTCATGAGGTGGCCCAGGAACAGGACACAGTCAAAGACATGCAGGACAGAAACGAAAGAACAGGGACATGCAGAACCACAAAAGGAAGGGCGGGGTCTGAGAACAAAACGTGGGCATGGTCGTCACGATGCTGAGATGGGGTGGGCACTGCATGGGCCAGGCTCACTGAGGCCCTGGGCTTGTGGCTATGCCTGCTTCCTCCGGAATGGTTTCTAGCATCTCGCTCTGGACGGCCTGTGTGATGAGTGCCAGCTCCTGGCACAGGGTCTCGTGACGGTAGCCCACGCGGATGTCTGGCACATTGGTACGGCGGATGTCGTTGCCCTCAGGGCCCTCCTTAGTATAGTTGGGTCCCAGCCAGTGGCTCTTTACCTGCAAAGGTACGAATAACAGACACAGCTATAGCCAGTTCCTAACTACTTCCAGGAATAAGCCTAGGACCTCAAATACAAAGGAAGGAAAGAGAGAGACAATGCCAAGGCCCACACAGGCAGGTGCAATACCTTGTGGGAGAAGCCACTCATGAGCACGCTGTTGCGGGCCAGTTCACACATGTCACAGGAGCTGAGCTTCCATACTTGGGTGGCAATGCTGTACTCCTCCATCAGCGGTTCCTGTCGGAGCCAGCCAGGTTCTCAGACAGGTGTGCCTGGCCCAGAAGCCTCTGCCCCTGAGATTTGCCACTTAGTCACTCCAGCCCACCAGTAGGGGGCAGCACCAGCCCGGAGAGATCCCAGTGTCACAGGACACTAAATCTGGCTGCCCGCCAGCCTCTGACCTTGGTGAAGTGGAACTGCAGAGGATCATCAGTAGACAACGAGACCATGAGGCCACGGGACAGGTACTCAGGTAGTGGGTTTCGGTGGTAGCTGAGGAAGAGGCTATTGTTGCTGAGTGGAGACATGGCGATGCCAATCTGGGCCAGGTAATACAGGTACTGCAGGACTGGGGCCTGGGCAGAAGGAAGAAGGGCCTGTCAGGTGGCCTCAAAGCTGGGGGAGGCATGCCACAACGGGGGCTTAAGCCACAGTAGTAGGCAGGGGACGTGGAAGGACCTGGTGTGAGAATGGCAATTCACAGCCAGAAACCAAGCTAGGGCTCCGTCCAGAGCTGGGGCAGGAGCATTAGTTATATTGGGAAGGAGGAATGCCATCTGGGGGCTGGGTAAGGAGGAGGATCAGCTGCTGAGGGGCCTGGATGGTTCAAAGGAAGGTGAACAACTGTGAGGGAGGCTGGCGTGCAGACCCTGACCTTACGCAGAAGCAGCCCGTGGGAGATGTTCTCGGCCAGCATGAAGGCTGACACCAGGTGGTGGATGGGCCCAGCCTCCCCGCAGTGTGGCCTCAGCACAAACGTGTGGAAGCCCCTCTGCCTGGGGGGGCATGAAGATAGGGTCAGCTCAGAGCCTGGGCTCACCTGGACTCACAAGCCCCCACCCCAGCAATACATTCCTCTAGCCAGAGGCCATGGGGGCAGTGTCAGATTCCTAGCTGGGAGGGGTAAGGGATGGAGTCTGAGGGCAGAGAAAGCCTACCCAGTCCTGGACAGGGTAACAGTCAGGTCAGGGCTCCGGTGGCCCCAGCCTAGGGCACCCAGAATGAAGTCTGCTGGGTGAAAGACCCAACAGCAAGTGGAGGTTCAGCACCAGGTGGGACAGGCACCTGCGCAGGTGGTTCAATGTGGCCATGTTGGCAAAGGTGTAGTACAGGTAGTAGGCGTAGGGTGGGTTGTCCTCCTCCACCCAAGCCTCCGGGAGGGGGCTCTCCAGGTTGAAGACATGGTTCTCTGGCTTCGACTCATCATCCACGCTGTCAAAACCATCCACCTGGCACAGGAGTCCATGGTCAGGCCTAGAGAAGCAGCTGGGCATGAGCCTGGCAGTCCTACCCACACCCAGCCTGTGCCGCTGCTCACATGCTCCAGAAAAAGGTGCAGCTCCGGGTGGCTGGCGGGATGCACGGTAGCCTCAAACAGTGGTAGGAAAATGTTCTCCAGCATCTCCTGGAAGTTGGCCAGTTGGCCTTTGGTGCGGTACACATCACTATTGGCAGGAAAACACACAAGTACATGTAGGTCAGAGACACAGAGAAGCCCTGCGGGCAAAAAGGGTTGAGCACAACTGTACCACATTGGAAAAAGAGGGGTCATCAGGATGGGGCAGCTGGACAAATTGTGGGTGAGCCTGGGAGGCCCCTCCTTGCACTCAGAGGGCTAGGCCAGGCCAGGGGAGGTTCAGCCACCCCTAATCCTGGCCCTCATGTCTCCTCCCACTCCAAGGGACACTCACAAGAGGCGGGGCACCTGCACGAGCCAGCGCACGTTGGGAGAGTGTACTCGGTGCATCACGGCCCAGCGTGCCAGTTTGTCCCACTCATCCCTTGAGCGCCCGTAGATGGAGAGCCGCAACTCTGCATTCTGGTATTTGCTCTCCTCCAGGTCCGCCATCACCTCCTAAACACGTGTGGAGCAGCTGTCAGACCTCGGCTCCCTTCCTGGCCCTCTCTGCACCCACCACACATGCTCAGGGAAACCTCAAGTTTCTCCGGCCCTGCACCTGAGCAGTCCCCATACCTTGATGATGTGAGCAAAGTACTTCCCAGAAACCCTGTTGTCCGTCTTGATGAAGATCTCTCGGAGCACGGACTCCCCAATAGGGTTGTATTTGGCATTGAACTTGTCAAAGCGGTGGAAGGTATTCCTGTCCTGGGAAGAGGAGCAGCCCCGGTCACCCCTGAACCCTGCAATGACCCACCCTCTAGCCCATGCCATGGGGACAGACCGCGTGCACGTCAAGTGTGTCCACACTCAAATCATAGGCAGTGAGATTCATGCTCTCAAAGACCTCCCTCAGGGTCTGCTCTCGGCCCTGCTCCACATGCACGATCTCCTCCAGGTGGCGCTTCATTGCCCGCTTGATGAAGCGCAGCAGATGCTTCTGGTTCATGCAGGATGAGGCGTGGATGTGTGTGTCCACCTGAGATGGAACAGGGTGCTGCTGGGTCCACTGAAGGCCAGAAGGGCCGGGGCAAGTACATACAGGGGGATGGGAGAGGGCTCTCCACACTGGATGCTAGGGTGGGGCCCAGACACTGAAGGAAGAGGCTGAGCAGAGAAGCAGGGTCAGACACACAAAGGGCTACAGGGTGAAGGCCTACCTTACGGATGTTGTAGAAGTCTCGATGTGGCACTTTCTTCTGGGCAGCCAGCTCCTTCATCTCATTGAGCAGCACATGCATCTGGAACTTTGAGCTCAAGTACTGCAGCCGGCGGTAGCAGAATGACTTTCTGGGCAGAAGGAAGAAAAGGAACAAGGCAAGGACTCAGGCCCTGAAGGAAGCACCTGGGAAGGGCCCAGGGAATAGAGCCAAGGGAAGAGGCACGAGGGTGCAGGCTGGAGACTGCCAAGAGGGCAGCAGACAGAGGAAAGGTCTAGGGCTCAGCAACCCGGGAGGGCAAGAGAGCAGGTTACAGGTGTCTGGGGCTGAGCAGTGCAAGACTGGGAGTGGGGCTGGGGCTGGAGAATCTGGGCTGGGAGCTGAGCTGCACAGGTACACTCACATGGGGCCATTGATAATCAGGGCCATCAGCACATTGACGTCAGCCACAAATTCCTGTAGGTCAGGGTACGGCAGCTCCACCTCTGAGCAACTGGCATAGAGAGGAGGTTGGGTGAGGCAAACAAGCTGCACCTGCAGCCCCTCCCAAGCCAATGTGTCCTCCCATATCAGCCCCCCAGCACACACCACACCCCTTACTGCTCATCAGGCTCCCTGTGAGTGTAGACATGCACCACGCCGCGCACCATTCGCAGGCCCAAGCCCAGGTCCCCAGGCATGGTGCTCGGCTCGCAATGCTCGTATGGGTGCTGCTCCAGGGCAGGGGGATGCACTGGGGCATCTGCAAGGTGGGGAAGGTGGAGTCAGGACAAAGGCTCTTCCAGGCCAGCTGGTGCCCAGCCCAGGGGCCCAAACAGAGAAAGAGACATCAAAGGCTCCAGTGAGGCTGCAGCACTGGCCCCAAACTCTGCCCAGCCCCTCCCATTCCCTAGCACCAAGAAGCTGGAATGACTCTGGGTGTGAGAGAGGCAGACGGAGCAGAGAAGCATGTGTCCCAACTCAGGAGCCCAGGAGCCCAGAGCACGTGGAGTGGGGCAGGGATGGGGGACCCCACCAGCAGACACAGGAGTGTCAGGGCTCTGCTCATAGGTCCGTGTCTCCAGCGGCTTCTCAGCCAGCTGCTGCAGGTAGCGGCGGGTGGTGGGGCAAAAGCCCTGCAGTGACAGGGCCGTGTACTTCTCCCGGATGAACAGTGCCCGCACCACACTCTTGGCTGCATCCAGCAGGTCTGTGAATGGCACCTGGGGATGAGGACATGTGGTCACTCCTGAAACTCAGACTCATGCTCACCTCCTCCCTGTGGCCTTCCCCAGACCTCACACCATCCCTACGCCTTGCAGGCTTCGACTCCAAGAACACTCAGCCCACTCTGGTCTCAGCGGATCAAACAGCTCCCAGCCAGACCTTCTCACCTGGTGTTGGGAAGACAAAATCCCTCTCCAGGCCCCAGCCCAGGCTCCCCAGCCTAAGGGAGGCCATTTGGACACCAGGAGAAGGAAGACCAACGCCCCACCCCACATTTACCCCACACTTCTCTTCTCCGGAGATGGTGACCCGCTGAAATTCTCGTTCCAGCACATCACGTTCCCGTGAGCCGCGGTCACCCTGCCCTTCACCCTGCTCCTTGTAGAGCCTACACAGGAGGACAGCAAGGAGGGCTTGCAGCCTGCTGCAAGATAGGCCCCAGCTCCACATCCCATGTGCGCCCCTCTGCCCTCCTCACTGTAGATCAGAGTCACTGTCTGTCTTCAGGAAATCTTGCTTGGCTCGAAGCAGGATGTCCGGCTCCAGCCTAGGGGCAAAAGGGGCAAGAGGTCAGCCGAAGCACAAGAGATAGCTCTGACTCTCAAGTCCTGACACTGTGCTGGGTGCTGTGCATATGTTGTCACTTGTGGTCCTCTCAGGCAAGGGACCCTCACAGCTGGAAGACCCTACTCTGTTCTCACTTTAGAGATGAAGACAGAACCACAACCCTGCAAAGCCTGCACTCTGTGCTACCTCCTGGGTGGGACCCAAAGGGGTAGATGACAGAGGAAAGGGACTAGAGGGACACATGACAGGCTACACAGCCCCTTCAGCTGCCCTCCCTGCAGCTCTATGCCGCACTCACTTGACATCCTGGCTGATCTGCCGCTCCAGCCGCTGCCTCCGCTCCTCCAGCTGCTCGATGGGGCTCTCCTCCGGGAACTCATACGGGGCGCTGCGGAGCTCACTCTCTGCCAGTGAGCGGCTGAACAGCTCCTAGTGGCAGAAAGGAGGAAGGATGAGAGAAGCCTCAGGCCCTGCCCAGCCTGCAAGGCTTGAGCATGGGTTTGGGCAGCAGGAGCCAGGGTTCCTGAGAGAAGCTGAGGATCTGGGGCAGCCAAGCAAGAGATGAGAGGGAGTGAGGTGGGGGGCATGGGAGCTGAGCAGGGTGTGGGACAGGGGTGTGGGACACCAGGTGATACCTCTGCGATCTCCTTGCACTTGCCATCCATAGACGTGCGCAGGTCAAGCGGGAAGTGCTTGAGGCAGGGGGCGGGGCCCGGCAGGGATCGGGCAGGCTGCAGCGGAGGGGCCCCCAGACCACCCCGAGCCTCTGCAGAGACAGTGATACCAGGGTCAAGGGATGGAGGGGCACAGCCTGGGTGCCCCTGGAAGCAATGGCCCCTGCCTCCTCGGGCCAGCCCCCAAAGGAGGCCAGGGGCTGGACAGTGGGTAATCCCACAGAGCCCAGGAGTGAGCCCTGGGGTAGCCCCCAAAGGACCTCACCCTCACCACCCCAGGCTCCTGGAGGTGCTGTGTCTGCCCCTAAAACAAGTAAATATATTCACTCCAGAATAAGAAGCTGAGGTCATGACAGCCTGTACTTGACTGCCTCCCAGCAGTAGTTCACGTGTGTACACATGCATACACACACAGACACACACCAAGTGCTCAGTGAGGACCGGTCACACCGTGGCCCTAGACCTCCAACACCTGTTCCAGCCCACAGCTTCCAGGGCAGCTAATTCAGGATCAGACCTGTCTCCAGGGCAGCCTGCTATTCCAGACCTGCAGGGCACAGAGGAAGCCACTCAGCTCTGACCTGGGAAGCCAATCCTTAAGGAAGGGGAAGCCCTGGTTGGCAAGGAACCCAGCCTCCTCCCTGGAGGCCTCTGTCTCCCCAGGACCCCAGGGCTGCCAAGATGTGTCCTGGCCCCAGCCTGCCCCTCCCACTGCTGGCTGTCCCTCCAAAGGGAGCCGCCAGTGTGTGCCACTCAGAGGCCCCAGGATCTGGGCCAGAGGCTCCATGAAGGGCCCTGGGGAGGAGAAACTCAGAAGCCAGAGGTCTTTCTCTATTAAGGACAGAACTCTTCATATGCACCACACTAAAGGCCTTCACTGACAGTCTCCTGCTGCCTGAGCTCCCAGCCTCCCCAGGACTCTCTCCCCAGGGAGGCTCAGCAGCCCCAGCCTCCCCACCAAAGCTCTCTACAGGCAATCTGGCTTTCCCAGCCAGCTTTAGAGGATGCTCCCCTCTAGTATCTTCTTTGCCCTCTCTACCCTGGCTTAGGGAAGAACTGCAGGCTCTGCCCAAGTTGCATGCCTTAAGGCCTCTCTGCCCAGACGCAGGACCCATGCCCCAGCTCACCGTGGTCCCTGGCTGGACCCCACCTGCAGAGTTCAGTCTGCTCAGCCAGTAGCCTTGTGCCCCTTGCTCGCCTGTTTGCCTAGTGAAGCTGCAGCCAGTCCCCTAGGACAGCTTAGGGGCTGGCACAGGCTGTACCAAGTGCAAACGCAAGCAGGAGAGACTCTGGGATGACCATAAACAGGGGGCTGGGAATCCAGAAATCCAGGGAGGAACAGCAAAGTTGTGAGACGGAGGAAGTCCAGAACTGAAGAGGGACTTAACCTTTACAGTGCTGGAAGGCCTAGTCAGACACAGGGCTCCCAAGGGGAGATGTAAAGCAGGCTGATATGGCTAGGGCATGCTAGTAGGGAGGGGCAAGCTTTCTTAAAACTACTACTCTAGGGGACAGGGAGTGGGCAGGGCCTGGCTAGCCAAAGTGTAAAAAAGAAGAAAGAGAGGAGGAACAGCTCTTCTATCAGAACCCAGCAGTCCCAGGCCAGCTTCTCCGGCCCACCAATGTCCTCTGGGCCCCAACTTTGGGGGGCAGGGTCCTTGCTGGGAGGAAGAGCTGGACAGCAACTGGGTAAATGGCTCAGTATGAGTAGGGGCAGTTACTGAAGTTTCCTGGCCCTAGACCTCCAACCCCTGTTCCAAGCCCATCATCTGGACACAGACAGTCTGGGAGGAGAGCTTTGGGAGATGGGACTAGCGTTTGGAGGACCGGAGTCTGAGCCCACATATCAGCATGTCTCTTCCTCCAGTGCAGGCTATAAATGGCCCCGGTCTGCCTAGCAGCAGTCCCAACAACTCACAGAAAAAATTCTCTGGACATGTTCTGCAAGGCCCTGGGTTCTGCGCCCAGATGTTTGTGACTGAGAGACCCTGGGACTCACAAAACACATCCCACACAGACCCTACTCATTGAGGAGTGCAGGAGGCTCTTGGGCTCGGCACAGGGCCAAGGCAGCTGAACATGGAAGGTCAGGTCAGTGAGAGAGCAGAACTTGGCAGGGGCGAAGATGAGATGTTGCCACCTCTTACTTAAATGAGGGCAGATTCAGAGGATGGAGATGGGCTCCTGCCCTCACCCTGAGGGTGTAAGGTCTCTGCTAGCTCAAAAACCCTGAGCCTGCACATCTCCTCCACAGAGAGGATCCAGACCAGCTCTAACAACCTCAAGGAGAGGCACAGCTTTGGGGCTGGTCTGTGTCCGCTCAGCAGAAAGGCCCTAATCTGAAGCCCCCTCCTAGCAGAGTGTCCCGGGGCCTCCACAGCAATGCTGAAGAGAGCACGGCAGGTTCCAGCAGCCAGATCCACCCCCGCCCTATCAGGAGACTGCAGAAGGTTCCTGGGGGTTCGCTGGAGATGGCACACAGGCAGTAACCTCCATGATCCCCAAACCCAGGCCTAGAAGACTCAGTGCCTGCTGGTTACTTCTCCCAGGACCTGTGCCCACGGCTCTCAGCCACAGCACTACATGTACACACCCACACTCACACTGGGAGTCAATCAAAACCAGAAGGGGCTTCTCCACAACCATTCCAACTCCAACATTCTGGCCACGTCATTTCCATCTTGAAATGCCCCTTCACTCACTGCCAGGACTGTCTCAGTGGAGCAGTGGCACCCACAGTTTTGACTCACAGATATCAGATGCTCTCACCATCAGACCACCCACGAGTCGCTGGTTCAGCAATAGGGCACCAGGCTCAGAGGCCCCGAGCACGCATCTGCTAGATGGTACAGACTTGGGCACAGAGAACAGACCCTAAGGACAGTATAGATCTCAGACCAAGCAGGGTCAGTGACACAATACTGGAGGGGGACAGTCAGGCTACAGGTACAGAAAGCTGTGGGAGGGGGGTAAACATGACCCAGCTACCAAAATGGGTGTGGGTCTTTACTTAGCCACAAGGCCTGAGAACCGCAGATACTGGCAAACACCCCTCAGCAAGCAGAGACCCAGGCAGTCAGCCCTCACTGCAAAGAACACAGCCACGCCACACCACCAGCTCCAAATGGTGCAGAGATGCCCACAGAGCGGGGGCCGAACCAAAAGGTGCACGGCACACAGTACACAGGTCTGCCCCAAGGACACCCCGCTCTCCTAAGGAGGCTCACAACAGACTAGAAACGAGCAAACCATGGACAATTAACACAGAGCCCCCAGCTCTGAGATGAGGAGTCTAGAGCCCCAAAGTGAGGGAGTCTAGATCTGGGGTCTTGGAGAGAGGACCAGCCACAAAAGGATAGCCTGAGTCTGCCTGAGAAAGGCACAGGCACCCTCAGGGTGGCCAGTCCGCAGGCCAGTCTGTCCCACACATCCCCACTCCATTCACACTCTTCACACGCAGTCTCAACATATGTACCCGCAGACACGTGTGCACACAGACCTCTTGATGCACCCACACCAAAGCCCACTCCTTGTTACAGAGGGCAGCATCCCTGACACAGAAACCTCAGTAACTCCACCCCTTCTCCCTCCCCACACCACCTCCCAGACCAGCCATTCCCAGCTGAGGGGTAGGGGGCACTGCTGCGGAAAGGGTACTGGAGAAGGGGGCTCCTCTCTGAGGGGTCCACTGGCCTGAATGGGAAGGGGGGGCACCGAACTGGGGCCTCGGGCCAGAAATCACACTCACCTGGAACCGCAGAAGAGGCCTGCAGGCTGGCCCGCTTCTTAAAGGGGTATTTGGCTTTGGCTTTGGCAGGGCCAGATGGATACGATGCCATGGCTGAGGCCAAGGCGACAGCGGAGGAGTCTGAGAGGCACCGGTTGGGGCCCGGCTCTGCCACATCCAACCCCTTCCTCCGCCCCGCCCCCAGCGGGAGTGACTGATGCAGGAAGCAGCGCCCCGCAGGCGGAAGAGGCCCTGGCCACGATTTCAGATGTTGTCTAGGCAACCTCAGGGAGTGAGGCCTCCATCCGTGCCCTTTATCCCTCCCCTCCTTCCGCGGCCCCTGGAATGACCTGACCGATGCTGGCTGAGCCTGAGGGTACGGGATGAAGGCAGAGAAAACAAGATGAGGCAGCCACTAGCTCTGCCCTACTGCCCTCCTCCCCTTTCAGGAGCTCTCATCCCTTTCTAGGACGCCAAGGCAAAGGAGGCAAAGTCCAGGCTAGCTGGTCCTGTCAGAAAAAAATAGTAATATACAGTATCCAGTACGGACTTTCTTCTCCCGGCTGAGCAAGTGTACTGAAGACAGCACCTCTGGGGTAGAGCCCCCTTTTTTCTTCTCCATGCCACCCCGGACTCCGGAAGTAACCCAGCTGTGGAAAGTAGACAGAATTGACAATCCCAGCCCAGGAAGGAGGCCTGTCCCGGTAAAATTCCACTGTCCAGCAGAAGCTGCTTCCATGGAAAGCAGGGAGGCCAGGAGACAGGGGCATGTCTCGGAAAAGACTCCAGCCTCTTCTAAGTGTCCTTGTCGGACTCAAGCTTTCCTTCCTCAGACTTTTTGCAGGAGATGGCCGCCTCTCCTAGACCTTGCAGACTATACTAAGACCCCTGCCCTTTTGTCCCTGGGCCACAGCACTTCCCTGGTGCAGAGTCCTACCCTGCAGCCCACGCGCACACACTTACCCGAAGCCATGCCTGAGTCCCGAGGGATACTGAAGCCGCGCCCAAGGCTCTCCACAGCCGGGAAGCCCAGGTGTAAGGGGAGAGAAGATAGGGTCCAGAACGCGGCCAAGAGGCTCCAAGCGCCCCTGCCCTGGCACTGAAACGGGGTAAGGCAATTTTTCAAAATTGCCAGTTGGATGGAAGCAGACCCACGCCAACGCCAGTCTATTGAGTGGCCTCGGGAGACCCCGAAGTCCCGACCCCCAACCCCGCACTCAAAAGGCGGACAGGCCACGTGCTCCTCAGAGCGGACCGGAACTTGTCTAAGCTCCTTGCAACACTCGCTGGAAATTCGGGATCCGACTCCCACTGCTGGACTGTGGGGGAGTTGCGCAACAGGTGTGACCCCACCACCTCCTCGCCGGCACTGCGCCAGCCTCTGCGACTCCAGGCGAGGTCAGGCCCACGGCCCCGCCCTCGGCCAGCCGACCCCGCCCCCACCATTTTTTCTCTTTCCGGCCGCCACGTGGGCAGTCACTACCACGCCTCGGTTGGCCTGGGCCGGCCCTGAGTCTTGAGCAAGTTGTGTGCGTCAGCTTCCTCATCAGGATTGCATGGGGTAACGACAGAGGGGTTATTGTGAGAATTAAATGTAACGCTCCTTTGCACAGCTGGTACAGTCAGGACCCCATATTAAGGTCCCAGGACTCACTGTAAGCAGAAGTCCCGCCCCTGCAGTCTCTATATTCTCACCTGTGTCACTGTTTTCTTCTGGCAGGCCTTGGTAGGCAGGGTATGCTGTTCCCCTTCTCACCTTAATTGCTATATTTGGTGGTTATGAGCATAAATGCTTAGCCAAGAAGTCTGGGTTCAAATTCAGATTCCTCCCCTAGTTCCTGACACTAAACAAGTGACTTCTCTGTGCATCCATTTCACCCATAAAGGAGTGTAGCAGTACCTGCTTTATATGGCAGTGCTTAAGGTAAATTAATTAATATAAATGCTTACAACCGTGTGTGGCAGTTCAGATATTGGCATTGCTCTGGCCTGTTTTGGATCATTATTGACAGCCTGTTGATTCACTTTGCAGCCTATAAAGAAGATAGCTGTTTCAAGGACTATACACTATCTAGCCAACATCCCCAATCCCAAGGAGCAGCAAATCCTACTTAAAGGGATGTTGTGGAGGAAAGGCCCTTTATTGAATGTAATTAAGTGTATGAGCAGCAATCAGTCTTTTCTCTGTTCTCTCCCTTGCCCTTTGTCCCCACACCCAGTTGTTCTAAAACTGTTGGTCCAGCTCCTCCCAGTTCTCACCACCCCCACACCAAGTTCCTTCCCAAACTTTGTCTTCCTCTTCTCTCCCCACTCTGGATTCTATTCTGGACTTTGAACCTTATTTGCTACCTGCATCTGGTGTCACCTCCATTGATCCCATCTACTGCTCCTCACTCCAAACCAACCAAAACCCAGGATCTTGGGCTGGAACATGTAGTTCAGTGGAACAGCACCTGCTTGCCCAGCATGTGCAGGGCCCTGAGTTCAATCCCCATCACTGCAAAAAACAAAACTGTGTCCTCCATAAATATGGGGGGAAAGGTCCATCTCAGAATCAATAAAACCTAAATAAGAACAAGAAGATGCCATATATATATCCAAATAGCAAAGACAAAGAATCTTAAATAGGGTGTAGTGAAATGGGAAATACTACTGGTGACCATAAACCTTCATATGATCTTTCTGAAAGCCATTTAGTAATCACGATTCTCAAGAGAAGGGTCTACTTAACTTAGTAATCTACATCCAGGAAACTGTTCTTTTAAAAACAGCTGCCAGAAAAAAGTTATGCCCAAATTGTTCATCACTGCAATGTTTACCACACAGAAAGTTTGGAAACTTAAAAAGATCTAATGATCAGAGAATGTTTAAATTATGTCATATGCATACAATTAAATAAAGCCACTAAAAGTTTTTTTGTGGAATTTTTTTAATGATGTAAAATTGTTTACAATATAGTTAAGTGAAAGAATGGATGAAAAAATGGTACACAGTGTGGTCCTAATTATGTGTAAATATGCATAGAAAAACACATCAAAGGCCTTACAAATGAGTAAGTAGTGGAAATACGGGTTATATTTATTTATACCTAACTGCATTTTTTAATTTCCTACAGCATATATCCATTTCTCTTATAATCCAGAGAATAGAAATCAACAAAAAGTCTGTAAAACTCTATAATCACCTGTACAGCTGCCCCCACATCCTCTGAGGCCTAAAGTTTTTATTTTTTGTTTTCTTTTAATGTTTTTGCCATACTAGGGATTGATCCTAGGGCCTCACATATGCTCGGTAAGTGTTCTACCACTGAACTATACCCCCTCCTTTTTTTCAAGTTTTATTTTGAGACAGAGTCTTGCTGAAGTTGTCCAGACTGATCTCGAACTTGAGATCCTCCTACTCAGCCTCTCAAGTAGCTGATGTTACAGGCATGAGCAATCACACTTGAACTTTTTTCCCCCAGCACCAGAGATTAAATCCAGGACCTTCATACTGGGCTATATTCACAGCCTTTTTTGTTTTTTCACACAGGGTTTTTTAAATCGCTAAATTGCCTTGAACTTACTGTGTAGCCCAATCTGGCCTCAAATGTGGGGTGATGCTCCAGCCTCAGCCTCCAGAATGCTGGAATTACAGGTATATGCAACCATGCCCAGCGATGGCATTTTAGTCACTGTTTTGTTTTGTTTTGTTTGAGACAAGGTCTATGTAGTTCAGCCTGGCCTAGAACTCACTATGTAGCCCAAGCTGGCCTAGCAGCTCAACCTTCCAAGTGCTGGGATTAGAGGCCCATTTTACAAGCCTGGCCCATTTCATTCTTGAAAGCAAATAGATTCAAAAGTCCTGAGAGCCCCAGCCAATTAGGGGGTTATACTGAGTGGTTCATGTTTAGCTGAGCATGGTTGCACACGTGTAATTCCAGCTTCTTGGGAGGTTGACACAGAAGAATCTAAAATTTGAGGACAATCTGGGCTACTCAGTGAGTTCAAGGCCTGCCTGTACTACACAGCAAGACCTTGTCTCCAAAAAAGAAAAGCAGCACATGCCTGTAATACCAGCACTCAAGAGGCTGGGGCCGAAGGATTACCATGAGGACTGCCTCAAGTTTGAGGCCAACCCAGGCTACGAAGTTTGAGGCTACCCTGAACTACAAAGCAAAACACAAAAACAAAAAAACTAATAAAAAAATTAAGCACTTTGTAATCACATAGGCTGTCACTTATATTTCTATAAAATGCAAATTTTGTAGTCTTGCATTGGGTCAGGCCTCCATAATGTCCTTCTAATTCAGATCTCATGTAGGCAGCCAATAAATGGAATCCTTCTCCACCACCCAACCAAGGCAAACCAGTTCATTAGTCTGTGAGCCTCTCTAGATCCAGGTTCTCTGGGATATAGTCCCTGCTACAAGTCTATCCTGGTTGTAGCTAAGCATCTACCTCCCACCTACTCAACAAGAACCTCAGTGGGGTTTCATTGTCTGCAAAAGAGAGCTTGGAAAACAAAGGAATGAGTCATCATCCTGTGGCCTGTTTTTTTCCACACTGGGGGCTTAATATTGTTTGAGCCTCTATGTGATCTTCCCTAGCTCTAAATACAGCCTCCTTCCCAGCCTGTTTCCACCATGATTCCTTAATCAGTCCTCCTGGAAGCCAGGCCCCCAGTGTCAGCACACTCTTAATGCTCTTAACTGCTTCCATTTCCTTCTGATGGCCAAGTGACTGGTGACACCTGCCTCCTTAGGCGAGAATGCTCCCTGGCCAAGGCAATTTCCCATCTACCCTATATCCAGGCCCTTCTAGAACTGAGTCTGTCTTCAGGTTCTCCCAGCAGCCAGCTCTTCCTTCCTGCCCCATCTGTCACCCAGCACCCTTATAGCATCATGCAACTGTATCCATCTGTCTGTCTCCAATGGCTTAGGCCATCAAAACTCGTTTCCCTCTCCTGTCATCTCCCAGGTCTCCTCCATAAATCTTTCAATTCCAGTCCTGTCACATCAAAATTCCCAGTCTTTATTTTATACCTTGCGCCTCTGCATTTTCCTATGTTCTTTCCTCTCCCCTGATGCAAACCCACTATTTCTACTTGAATTCTCTGTGTAAAGTCTGTTCGTTTTACAATCACTCTTCTCTTTTTGCTACCTCAGAACTTACCAGTCTAGCAGTCAGATGTGTCTACAATTGCCTCTCCTCCTACAGCGGTAGAGACTAAGTTTTATTTTGATGTTGTTGCAGTACTGGGGGCTGAACTCCAAGCCTTGCATTGGGCAAGCACCCTACCACTCAAGAACACCCGTAGTCCAAAGCTGGGCTTTAAGCAGTGTTGAATTCCCCCACATAGCAGTGTCCCTTTAATTAAACTGTTTTCCTCAGTCAACTTCCCCTTTCTCTTGCTTTGGACTGGAAGTTCCTGAAGGCAGGTCTCCACATTCCCCAACTACATCTGGGAGAAAGCTCACCAATGGATGTAAGACAGATCCTGAGATCTCCCCTAAACTTATGAAACATCCCCCAAATTGGTTGGGAAACTGATTCCTCTCAAAATGATATGCTTATAAAGGCTATAAATCAAACAAGTTTTAACTCTGACTCTGATACAAACGTGCTTATTCTGATGATGATGACTTTTCTGTGCTTCACTTTATTCATCTCTAAATGAAAATCACACTGCCTGCCTTATCAGGGTACTGTTCCAAAGTATGATAATAGAACAGTCACAGAGGAAAGGGGACAAGAGGAGGCAGAAGGTCCCTGGCACAGGATGATGCACACCGTGGTGATTCTGATCTCAGAGGACCAGCAAGGGCATGATGGTGAAAATGGTTCCTTTCACAATCCAACACTGTTGCTTCTGGGTTCACATATTTGCCCAAAGATTCTTTCTCTCACTGGCTGGCAGTAGCAGCAAGAAAGATCACTGGTTTGTCTGTTTACAAAGCTACACAACCTGGAACAAGTTAGGTAACCCTCAGGTCTCAGTTATCTGGTCTGGAAATTGGAGACAGCAGCACTTATCTTAAAGATATTTTGAGAATTAATTGGTATGAGCCATATAAATGGCCTAGTACAGTTCCTAGCAGTTCCTCTTTTAAGGGTGTAGCATTCAACACAGCCCTGGCCTGGCTGTAAGTTACTAACATTGGGGAAAGGAGAGGGCAGGATGGTGGGGAGGTATAATTACTGAAACCTTACAGCTAAGATTCCAAGAGAGTCATAATTTCAAAGAGATTCCTGGTTTTCCCTAAGTCAACTAAGCATTTGCCAATTTCTGATTGGGAACACGATTGACAGGCTGGGCCAGGTGATGCAGGTCTGTAATTCCAGCTACATGGGAGGCAAAGGCTGAAGGATCACAAATTCAGGGCCAGGTTGTGCAACTTTTTAAGACTTTAGTCTCAAAAAAAAAAAAAAGGCTGGGGATATGACTCAGTAGCAGAGTGGCCCTGAGTTCAATCCCCAGTACCTCAAAACAAGCAAGCAAACAAAAACCCATCATGATTGCCATGCAGGAATCTCAGTAGCTGCCTATTCCTCCATCAGCTCAGAGAGCCTTGGCCTCTCCCAATATTCATCTTAAAGGTCAAGGGAAGTAGGATGATCAGCAATGGCTCAGGGTGTCTTCTACCTCCCACTTTCTTGCCCCACTGATCACTGCCACACAATTCCAGCTTTGAAAGAGAACAAATTAAATCCTTTTAGCTTAATAGTTTTCTACCTTAGTTATATACATAGGAATCACTTGGAGGAAATTTTAAATCCTTACTCCCAGGCTGTATTCCAGACCAATTAAATCAGTATTTTCTAAAATACAAAAAAAAAAAAACAAAAAAAAACAACAACAAAACTCTCCAGTAAATGCCAATGTACACCAAAAATTGAGAAATGTTCTAGGTCAGGGTCTAAAATATGTACTACTTCAACATCTTTGAAAGCAAGGTGGTCTTCCAGTCAGGGCAGGTAACGGCTTCATGAAGCAGAAACAAGCACGGCAAGTGATCCTGCCTTTATGCAAACGGGTGGGGGAAGAGTTCCCTAGGGCAGTCATTCCTGACCTCTGATGTCCTTAGTCACCTGAGATACTGCTGAAAGGCACATTCTGAATTGAAAAGTCCACACTGCACTTCTAATAAGCCGCTAGGTCTTCTGAAGTCACTCATCCTTGCAGTGCATTTTGGGTAGCAAAGTTCTCAATATCTTCATCTGAGGAGGCTCCACCAGCAAGGCCCACTGAAGTGAAATAATTGGCATGAGGAAATATGGACCGTGGAGAATCATTACGTGAAGCAAGCCTGTACCCTCGATTCTTGTTGGGGTGGAAGTGGGGGCCAGCCAGTATGAGAAGCAGCAGCTAGTCTAATTGCCCAAGGAAAAGTTTGTTGTGTTAAGACGGCACAAATTCATACCAAGTGAAGCTGCGCCTCAGGTGGCATTAGTGTGTCCAGGGGAAGCAGCCCCATTCTCCATGTACCTTTTCCTTTGCTTATTCACCAAGTCTTTAGTGAACACCTGCTTCTGAACTACAAGTTCTAAGAAGTTCAAAAATAAAGCAGACTTGGTCCCTGACCTCCAGTGGGGAGGAACGGACAGCAGGACAGAGATAGGTAAAACGAAAGTACAAAATGAAGCTATAGCTTCATTTATTTATAGGTGTGGTGGTGCATGCCTGTAACCCCAGCACTTGGGAGGCTAAGGCAAAACTGCTGCGAGTTCAGGGCCAGCCTGGGCTACACAGACCCTGTCTCAAAACTCCTCTCTGCCCCACCAAAAAAATGAAGTGATAAATGCTAAGGATACAAATTGACAGACCCAACCCCCGCCCCCAGCAGACTCGCTATCCACATCCACAGGAGCACAGAGAGAAGAAGCAAGTAGCCACCTTGCTACTCTCACAACTGCCCTTCCTTGTCAGTCAGCACCAGGCCCATCACCCCTGGGACTCTTAAAATTTTCCACCCTCCTGACCAGTGCCCCCTCCCCTATCTAAGATGCCCATATAACCACTCACACCCTCCTCTCGGTGCCAATGGCCTTCTCACCCTTGGCAATAAACTCATCACATGTTGCTTAGACTTTGCCTGCCTAGGCGGTCTCAATCACACCTCGGTCTGATATTACACAAATATGTACAAAGAGCCAGGTGTGGTGTTGCACTCCTGTATTACCAGCACTCTTAGAGGCTGAGGCACCAGTCTCACAAGTTTGAGCCCAGCATGGGTAATTTAGAGAGATCCTATCTCAAAATTAAAAAAAAAAAAACAAAACAAAACACTAAAGGGCTACGGATGTAGCTCAGGGTAGAGGTCAATACCACAAAAGGGGGTGGGGGTGTGTACAGAGATGAGGCACCACAAACAATGCTGATAGCTTCCTGAGCAGCAGCCCTGGGGGACCTGAGTGAAACAGTCCTAATCTTTCCCAGGAAGAACACCACCCCAAACAAAACTTCTTTGCCAAGACTGATCTGATTAATGAACCTTCTCAGCTGCCTTGAAGCCCAGGCTCTAGAGTCTGGAGGTTCAATATGGGGGACGCTTCCTATGTTTGTGCCCTTAACCTCTAACTCTGCAATGCAAATAAATCCAAGGGAGCAAGCTCTTTCAGGAGATGGTCCTCCTCAAAATGATAGAGGCAGCCATCATTTCATTCCCAAGAGATCCAGTACTCACACCCTTTCCTGTGTCAACCTGGGACATTTCCCAGATCATTTCCCTTGCTACAGAACATTTTTAATCTTTGCTCTTTGTCTTATTGGCAAAGCTCTTAATTGGCTGTACTCATCACATTGCTAGATGTAAAGGCCATAATCCCTAGACTAAGAAGGCCTCCAGTTGGGAAAGGAGTCTCAGCCACGGTGGACAGGGTATAAGAATCTACAGCCTGCTCTCACCTAGCCCCATATAAGCTCACTTTTAGGAGAGCAAGAGAATGATGCTCAATCCCAAATACTTTTTCCTTTTTCACACACAGAAAATTTTATAGAAGCACAAGAGCCTGAGGGAGTAGCTGAGGAGACGACAGAGATGGGGAGTGGAATCAGTGCAGAGGATAAAGAGCTGGCCAAGAGATCCAAGGAACTAGAAAAGAAGCTGCAGGAGGATGCAGACAAGGAAGCAAAGACTGTCAAGCTGCTGTTGCTGGGTGAGTAAAAGGGGAAGACGAGCACGCAGAGGTCATGCTCTTCTGTTCCCTGGAGGAGCAGTGGGTTCTAGCCCATCCCAAGGGGTGGAGACGAGGCAGATAAGTTTTCTTTTTCCCAATCCAGTCTTAGGCCAGATCTGGAGCTCTAGGGCTGAGTTAATATGGAATCTGCACAGCCACCCCAAAGAGATCCATTAACGGAATAGCATGAGGTCCAAGGTGGAATATCTACAAATCTAACCAAATCAACACCTCCTTTTGATTTGGCAAATACTTGGCTACGTAGACACCCAATCTACAGTGAGAGGACTCTGGGTCAAAGATTCAAAAAAGGACCTTCTCTCACCAGTGGATTCAGAAGTCCCACCATACAATCCTAACACATAGGCCCCAGAATAGACTTACTAGTTCTTGCCACGTACACTAGTTCCTTTTTCTGCTTCAGTAAAAATTTTGAAAGTAGGGCACTCTGTGTGGGGAGACATGGGGTCTTTATCCACGTAAGTCCCTTCCTGGTTTTCAATTAGGTAATTGCCTCTGAAGTCCCTGCCAGATGGGAGGTTCATCAACCCAATGAACTCCTAAGCAGATCACTAGTCTGTGCTGAGAAAACAGAAGCACCTCAGTGGGTCAGCCAGGGAAACTGATCATGGCTATAAATAGAACCAAGACAACAAACTTTGTGACACCTTGCTTAGGAGATAAAAACAAGAAACAAAAACCAACAGCATTACCACAGAAGTAGGCTGGGGGGGACAGGTGGGTCCTATATAACAAAAGAATGGCATCCTGGGCTAGGTTTCCAAGGCCAAGGACAGACTGATCTTTGGGGCACCAGGCTAAAGGCATCTTTTCTCCTAGCTTATCTGGGCCATCACCCAAGGACAGATCAAGGAGTCCAGGAGTAACACGGGGGAAATGGAGACAACAGGCCCCCTGAGGGATCTTTTAAGCCTAAGAAGATTCTCTAGCTTCAGAACAAGTAGCTTAGAGGGGGAAAAGCACAGGCTAAGTGGGAGGAGGTTGAGGGATCAGGGTAGTGGAGACTGAGGGAAATGTGGGTTTTGATGGGTGAAGAGCATGATTGAGGACTTAGGGCACTTTAGTCAACTAAGGGAACCATAAAGATAATGAAAAAGTATTTCCCCAAAGTAGTTCAGGTCTCTTTGGTCCTGCTTAAGATTACTTGAGTTAAAAAATGGGCAGTGAGGAATTTCTCTGATTCTATCAGTGCTTCTTAATGGAGAGATTTTGAGTCCCAAAGGACATCTGGAAAAGTCAGGAGACACTTCTGGTTGTCACAACTAGGCGAGTGGGATGCTACCGGCCTCTACTGGGTAGAGACTGGGAATGCTGCTAAAAACCTATAGTGTCCCTAGAAAAAAGAAAATCCAGCCCAAAATGTAAATAATGCCAAAGTTAATAAACTGCTCTAAACCCACGTCACTGCCAGGCACAGTGGCACACACCTGAAATTCCAGCTACTCAAGAGACTGAGGTGGAAGGATGGAAAATTTAAAGCCAGAACCGGGTGTGGTGGTGCACGCCTGTAACCCCATCCCTTGGGAAGCTGAGGCAGGAGGATGGCCTGCCTGAGTTAAGAGTTTAGGGCCAGCCTGAACTACAAAGGGTAACCCTGCCTCAAAAAACAAAAACAACAACAAAAGAGCAAGAAAGAAAATTTAAAGCCAGCCTGAGCAACTTAGTAAAATCTTGTCTCAAAATAGAAAGGGCTAGAGATACATAGCTCAGTGTTAAGAGTGCTCACCTGGAATGTGTGAAGACCTGGGTTTGATCCCCAGCATTTTAGACAAAAAAATCTGCTAAAAACAGTAGCTGGGAATGTAGCTCCATGGTAGACTACTTGCCTAGTAAATGTGGCGGGGTCCTGAATTCAATTCCCCAGTACACTACTACTACTACTACTACTACTACTCCTCTCTCTCTCTCTCTCTCTCTCTCTCACACACACACACACACACACACACACACAATCAATCCTGGTCAAATGGCACAAGCTCAAGGTACCAGAAGTTTAGGGCAGCAATCATCCCTGTTTTTCCAGAATGTTGATGAAAACTGGTGGAAACTGGAAACATAAGCATTTCTCCTTCCAGGTGCTGGGGAGTCAGGAAAGAGTACTATCGTCAAGCAGATGAAGTGAGTAGAAACAAAGCCCCAAAGGACTTAGGGAGTCATTAATGAAGCCAGTGAAGGTACTTGGAATCAATAGGCTCTTTAGCCTGAAGGAACCCAGGTATTTTAAAGGATCTGATTTCCAGTGCCTCAACCCCTTCACCCTGCACTTGGTGACAGGGGTTTTTATGATCTTCTAAATCCCCTTAGATTCCCAATCCCTTAGATCTGGTTACTTAGGTCCAGCTAAAAGCCGGATGTCTGCCCCTTAAGGATCATTCATCAGGATGGCTATTCACCAGAAGAATGCCTAGAGTTCAAGTCTGTCATCTATGGGAATGTGTTACAGTCCATCCTGGCCATCATCCACAGCATGTCCACACTGGGCATTGACTATGCTGATCCAAGCTGTGCGGTATGTGATAAATGTTATATGGTTACAGCAAAGCTAATGAGGAGAAGAAACTGAAACAGAGGCCAACAAACTATAAGTTGGGTAAGAGTAAATTCTGGGTAACTAAAATCTGACCTGCTGAGCTTCTAAATCTTCTCAGTTCTGGGAAAGCAACTTCTCTACCTTTAAAATAAATGTTTACAAAATCTGCTCTCCGCTTCTTCTGCATTTTTGTCTTCTTTTGCCACTTAAATTGTTCCCCTGGGGCTTTTTGTCCTCGCCATGGAAATTTTACAAGCTAAATCCCTAGTTCTAGTATTGGCCTTGTCCTAAATTTGAACATTGAAAGAACAAACGTGATAGATTCCCGTCTTCCATCTTGTCAATTTCAAGGTCAATCTAGCCTTTGAACTTCCACCCTCCCTACAGCAAAGGACCCACATTTTGTGGCAGTCTACTTTCAAACTAAAGCTGGAAGTCAAAAATATCAGAGAAGCAGGACCTGGGTGGGACCTTTGTTATCCTTTAGGAATTTCTAAGTTGGACATATTACCACCCTCTATATCTAGGGAGCACACTAAAAGTTAATTAGTATGTTTTCTTAGATAGAATCTTCACAAAAGACTGTCTCTTCAGGCTCTGGTAGCAATGCAAAATGCTTTTCATTCAGCAGTGTTTCCAGAAGCCTCCAGCAAAGCCATTCCTCCTCCATCATTCTCACCCAGCTTTCTGCATTACAGGATGATGGGCGACAGCTCAACAACCTGGCTGACTCTACTGAGGACGGAACCATGCCTCCCGAGCTGGTAGAGGTCATCAGGAAATTGTGGAAGGATGGTGGAGTGCAAGCCTGCTTCGACAGAGCTTCAGAGTATCAGCTCAATGATTCAGCATCTTAGTAAGACCGATTGGGAGGGAGGAGGGATGATACTTAAGCAACCTTGCAAGAGAAACCTCATTTAGCCTTAAATACCACACCTTGAAAGCTGGAGACCCACAGACTAAATTTAATGCCTCAGAGATTATCTGCCAGCTCCCATCACTCTGCATTACTTTACACAAGCTTACTGCAGCCTACAAAGATAAAGACAAAATTCAAAACAGAGGTGCTCTTAACCCCGTTTTCTTAAGCTAAACTCAGCCCTCCTTTCAGAATCCTGAAACAGCCCTGCAGTTCTGCTGGCATACTCCCAGGAAGTATGACCCTCTTTTGAGACTGACTTTGCTAGCGATACCCCAGGCTCTACCTGGTCTACTAGACAGAAATGAGTCTCCTTCACCCATAGCACCTTATGTCAGAATATTAGGGTGGGGACTCACGAACTGCCAGGGCAAACCAAAGGAAGGTAGGCAGGAGTTACAAACAACTGTGCACAGCTAGGTCCAAAAGGATATGGGACACAGAATTTATCAATCCCACAACAGTATAGTAACACCAATGGGCATGAGCTTTGGAGGCAGACCTGTTTTGGGTTTTTTTGTTTGTTTGTTTTGCTTTGGTTTTTTTCATACAGGGTCACACTATGTAGTTGAGACCTGGAATTCACTATGTAGCCTAGGCTGGTCTCGAACTCACAGCAATCTTCCTGCCTCAGCCTCCTAAGTGCTGGGATTACAGGCATGCACCACCACACCTGGCCTGAGGCAGACCTGTTTTTAACCTCTGTCACCTAATCTTGTAATAATGCTATCATTTACCATCTCTGGAATGCTCCCTTACAAAGGCTCAGTCACTGCTAGTTGTGCCATACATACTGTCCCAAGGCCCTCTCTCCATTTGTACAATAAGTTTTCAAGGTATAGACAATACTTTTTAATAGTTCTATTTCATAAATGAAAAGTGATAATCTTTTCTATAACTTCAACAAAGGATTTAATTTACCCATGATCACACACATAAATAGCAGAGGCTAGACTTGCACCCAGGTTTGCTTGACCACAAAGTGCATTATTTTTTACAACATATCATAATGTTTTTTGATGTTGGGCAAGTTATTTAACTCTTCTGAATTATTCCTTAATCTCTAAAATGGGGGGTGAGTTGGGTGTGGTACAGCACTCTTGCAATCCCACCAGTGACTCAGGGAGGTTAAGGCAAAGGATGCCACGTTCAAGCCCAGCAACTTAGCAAGACCCTGTCTCAAATATTTAAAATACAGGGATGGGTGGGACATAGCTCAGTGCAAAGGCGTTGGGGTCAATCTCCAGCAAGCAAAAATAAAAACAAAATGGGGATATGAATTGTAAAGGTTTATGAAGTTCACTGAGAACTTAAATGCGAAAATATCTGGCATACATTAAGCACTTATGTTAATTTCCTTCTCTTCTGGGTCATTTGTCTTCACAGATACCTTCCTCCTTCCTTTCCTTTATAATATAAACTTTTTTAAAAAACACTTTCTCATTTTTTAATAACTTTCAAACATATACAAAAGTAGAATACTACAATCACCTAGTCTCAACAGTTAATTCAAGGCCACTCTTGTTAGTCTCTGTATTTACTGATTTTTTTTTTTAATTTTTAAAAATATGGTACATTTCATGAATTTGTGCATCATCCTTGCAGAGGGGCCATGCTAATCTTCTCTTCCAATTTTAGTATATGTGCTGCTGAAGTAAGCACTTTACTGGATGATTTTAAAGCAAATCTGTTATTCATACTAAAAACTTCACTACCTCTTTCTAAAATACAAGCTTTTTAAAAAATAAATTATAGTATCATCACACCCAAATATGTAATAATTCCCTAATATCATCAAACACCCAAATTTCCCCAATTCCAATTTTATTTATGGCACAAATGATACTCATGTCTCTGATGTAGCTTTCAAACTATCCCCTACCTACAGCCTTGTGCATGTTAGACAACCACTCTACCACCGAGGTGAATCCCTAGCCCTACTCCTGGCTCTTGATGGAACTATTTAAAACAATAATTCTCATTCGAAGATCCAGAAAGGATTTGCAGCTGGAAAAACCCAAAGAAACTGCAAGAAGCCCCCTGCATCAAATGGACTTATCCCTCAGCCCACTATCCACATTCTTTTTAAAGAACACATAAAAGTTTGAAGGAAAGAATCCTAAATGGATTCCAGCTCTGGTTTATCACGTTAGTCATGTGACTTGGGGTAACTGGATGTTCAATGAGGAAAATGTAATGTCATTAGTGCCGATCAATTTTGTCTAGCTACCTGAATCAACTGGACCGGATTACAGATCCTAGCTACCTCCCTAATGAGCAAGATGTGTTACGATCCAGAGTCAAAACCACAGGCATCATCGAAACAAAGTTTTCTGTCAAAGACTTGAATTTCAGGTGAGTACATGACTGCTGGGGACATCTCAGATACCCACATGTGCAATCCTAAAAAGAGACATGAGTATTGCTTTTGGGCTTTGCTGAAGTCCAATCTGAATTACTGTCTTAGTTTCCTCACCCGCTTTCTTCTCATTTTGCTAATTGGCCCCAAAGGGTCCACTGCTCAAGGGGAACAGCATATGCCAGGAATACCTATGAGAACAGTTGCTTCTTCCCTTAGGATGTTTGATGTGGGAGGGCAAAGATCAGAAAGAAAGAAGTGGATCCACTGCTTTGAGGGAGTCACCTGCATCATTTTCTGTGCAGCCCTCAGTGCTTATGACATGGTGTTGGTAGAAGACGATGAGGTGGTAAGTGGCCTTCGGCACCAAGGCACTTTGATAGATCAAGTTTCCCTCATGACTCATTCTTATAAGCTTGTGTAATTCCAATGCCTGAACTAGGATGTCAATGAACACTGACAATCTAGCAGTCCTCTAGTAAACCAGCCAATGCCTCATGTAAACAATTCCATGAAAAACAAAGTTTGTAAGAGGAAATGAGTATTACAAGGGTAAGAGACCATCAAGTAAGTAAAGCAATTATATTTATACTCCCAGGCTGCCTATGGAAAAAAAGTAGAATAGGGAAGACAATTTGTGATGTGTGCCTTTACACAACAAAATAGAGGGGCTGAGCTACTAACTTCACTTAGAAGCCTAAAAATGCAGAGTGTAATGTAAGCCTAAAAATGTACTGAGGAGAGAACAGCAGTCCAATTTTCTTACATGCCAACTAAACTGGCAGGTGGGAAACCCCCTGAGGGTGGGTCTTTTCAGCCTGTAAAGTTCTATAAGGTAGGAGCACTACAGGCCAAGTGTCAGAACAGGACCAGTTACTTCTTAGTGGGTTTGCAATAAGGAATGTCAAAGATGTGGGAAATAATAATTTCACATAAATATCTGCTCCACAAATGGAGGTTTGAAACCTACTAATGGAAAACAAAGCTTTTTATCTTCCTATCCCTTGCTCCAGTTTCATTTCCTGTCCTTTCCCCCTTAGTAGCTCAAGTATACATTTCAGCTGTCTGCCTTTTAGGCAAAATGTCTTTGAGCACTACTCACTTTCCAAGTTCTCGTCCATCTTTATCCCTAAAGTCAGTGAGATCTAAAAAGGTTTTCCTTGTGGTAGAAAATGAAAAGACTGAGCTCAAGTCAGCATACTTCAGGTCTCTAAAGAGAAAGATGAAAGATTGCTGAAAGATGGTTGGCCTGGGGTATGGGGCAATCTCTAGACTCTGCAGATAAGTGCCACTTCTCATCTCTTAAAGTAGCAATCACAGAAGGGACTAAGACAGCACAAATGCCTGTAATATGCAGTGGGAAATTCTCTAGCACTCACCAGGGCCAAATCATCTCTGTCACATTCCTGTTCAAACAGACTCCATATCTAAGCTAACCTAACCAAAATCACCTGGAGATACAAATAGGCACATGCTAAATTGGGCCTGGTCTCACCCCTGTATCAACAACATTTAAAGATGCTGAAGTCCTATTTGTGCCTGGCTGCCAAAGATCAGCATATCATTTATTATGCCAGTCACTGCCATAGACATTATACATACATGTGCTCATTTAACTTTCATGATAACTCTATCAGGAAATCAAGGCTCCAAGAAGCTCAATACTTTTCAAGTCACACATCTGTTAACATGATAGGAAAATTAAATGGAACCCAAGATCTCTCTGGCTCTACTCTATTACATTAAAAATAAGCCGTTTATTTTTATATCTGGGACACTGGTTTCTCCAAGGGGAACAAAACAAGGGAGCAGGCAAATATCCCATAAATCTGACATTTTCAATGGTGTTTCCTCTTACTAGAATCGTATGCATGAGTCTTTGCATCTGTTCAACAGCATATGTAACCACAAGTTCTTTGCTGCTACTTCCATTGTCCTCTTTCTCAACAAGAAGGACCTTTTTGAGGAAAAAATCAAGAAAATCCATCTCAGTATTTGTTTCCCAGAGTATGATGGTAAGTATCAAAGACTGCAGAAAGCAGTAATATTTTTTAGTAATAACTGGTGACTGCCTCATTCTCTACGCCAAGAAAAAATAAAGAAACCTGTCTTAGGGAAGAGACTTGGGCATTGTTACAGGGTTTAAACTCAGATGTCTCTGGACTTAGATATCAAATGTAGGAAAGCCACTGACTGTTCAAAGAATATCTTCCAGAAACCAAAGGTATAGACATAAAGACACCCCTGTCTTCAATTCCTTGGTCCACTCAAGTGAGAAGCACTGGATGCAAGAGAGAAACCTTCCAAAAGCAGGTCCCCAATTTGTGTTTAATACACTTCAAAAGGATCAAGTCATTAACTTAAAAAGTAAATGAGCAACTAAGAAGGGTTAATTTATTCTATTTCTTCACTTTTTCTGGAAAACCAGGAAACAACTCCTATGAGGATGCGGGGAATTATATCAAGAATCAGTTCCTTGATCTCAATATGCGAAAAGATGTCAAAGAAATCTACAGTCACATGACATGTGCTACAGACACACAGAATGTCAAATTCGTGTTTGATGCAGTTACAGATATTATTATCAAAGAAAATCTGAAGGACTGTGGGCTCTTCTAATCCACTCAATTCCTTAGGTATACTTTTTTTTTTTTTTTTTTTTTTTTTTTTT